CATAATCTATTTATTTGGAAGTAAGCAACAATTCTACCCCCATACCTCGCCATCTCAGAGAGACAGAGAGATAGATAGATAGATAGATAGATAGCGAGCGAGAGAGATAATGTCAATTAAATATATATATATATATATGTAATATTATTTAAATATGTTTGTAAATATGTTTATTTATTGAATATTTATTCTTTCTCCTGTATAGCGATGAGTTGCTTTTATTTGTTTATAACTGTTCGTTTTTTCTCACACAGGAGCTCACATTTCTCACAAAGCAAGAAATCTTAATGTAAGTGAAGTCACTGCACTTACACTTGTGCACACATGAAAAAAAATCATTGAAAAAATACTTCCTGTTGTGCTTTGCTGCTTTCAGTGTAGCTAAGTTTGAATTGTGTCAGTCAGTCAGTCATATTTATTTATAGAGCACATTTAAAAACAACAGCTGCTGGCCAAAGTGCTGTACAAAATTAAGCATATATCAAAATACAAAAGTAAACATAGAACACAGCGACAGATAGTACACTACAGTTATGCCACTGCGCTTACTTATGACCATATGCAACAGTAAATAAATACGTTTTAAGAAGAGACTTAAAATCAACGTATGTTGGTGCAGTTCTTATATAGGGTGGCAACTTGTTCCATAGCTGAAAAAGGCATGATCTCCTTTCGATTTCAAGTGTGTCCTTGGAACAGTCAACCTAAGACTACTGGTTGATGGAAGTTCCCTGGAGGCATTATGATGAACAGAAGGAGATCGGAGATATATGATGGAGCCAGTCCATGGAAACCCCTTATAAACAAACAATAATGTTTTAAAATGGATACGATATTTAACTGGGAGCCAGTGGAGAGAGATCAACACTGGTGAAATATGTTCCCTCTTCCTTGGGGGAAGTTGTGAATACTGACTGTACAGTTTAGTTTGTTTCTTATTGTTTTGTGTTCAGGTGAGGAATAGCGGTAAAACTTGACAGGCTGATTTATTGCAGGGTTATTTTATTATTTATAGTATAATATTTATCAATACTTTGAATTAGCTTATTATATTTTTCGTTATAATTTTAGTTTTAGTTGAATATTTCTGTTTAACCTAATTTTTTTAGTATCAGTAGTACTTAATTTATTTGCAGTTCAACATTTTAAATAATTCTAT